ACTGCAGTGCTGTGCGTACCACTCACGAAGACGCTGGGGAGAGGGCAGCTCCCGCCTGGGCGAGGAAGCACGAGCACCAGCTCCAGCAGCACCCCGCCTGAGGCTGTAGTAGTGTATGTACCACTCACGCAGCTGCTGGGAGGAGAGAGCCCCTTCAGGCGTAGCACTCCCGAGCTCAGCACCCCCAGACTCAGCACCAGCAGGTTCTGAACGCCCTGGCTCAGCACCCACAAACCCCGCACCCCCAGGCTGAGCACCCCCAGGCTCAGCACCCTCAGACTCTGCACCCCCAGGCTCAGCACACTCAGGCTCAACACCCCGAGGAGGACGAGAGTCAACAGCTACCTCGACAGGCTCAACCGGGTCTTCTTGAGACACACCTGAGGGAGCGGCACCCTGAGGGGGGAGGGGGTCTACTGCAGCAGCACCTAGCGCGAGGAAGAGAGGCGGGGGAGGGAGCGGGGCAGTGCGGTAGGGGAAGAGGCGGTAGAAGGGTACCGACTCGTCAAAGGTGACGTCTTGAGAGGCGAGGACACGGTGCGAGGCGGCGTGGTAAAACTGCCAACCAGACGCGTCCGGGACAAAGCCGAGGAAGACACACAGAACAGCACGAGAGGAGAGCTTGTCCGCTGACGTATCGCGAACAAAAGCCCAAGATCCCCAGACCCTGAAACGCGACGCATCGCCAACCTCTCCCGTCCAACGCAGTGTCGGGGAAGTCCCTGGAAAGGAGACACGGGGCCAGAGGTTGAGCTGCTGCGCATCGTATCGGACTGCAAATGGCCACAGAAAGTGGGGGGCAGCCGCATGGATCAAGGAGGTACGAGCAATCTCCATGATCAAGCCAATGCGGCGCTCAGCAACCCCATTCTGCTGTGGAGAGGCCGGAAGCGTGAACGACTAACGGATGCCGTGCTCCGCACAGTAGGCTGCCAAGAGGTCGGAGGAGAACTCACCACCTCTGTCAGAGTGCAAGCGCAGGACAAGAAAGTCCGAGTGGAAACGCTCGCTGAGCTGGAGACGAGAAGCGCGGATCCAAGGGATCAAAACATCAGGGACCTCACGCTTGGTGCGCAAGGGGAAGACCGTGGTGTAGCGCGAGTAGTCGTCAACAACTATCAGGAAGTACCTCTCCTGACCCTGACCACGGACGCGGGCTGGGCCTCACACGTCCATGTGGAGCGTCTGCAAGGGAGCAGTCGTCGGGGGAAACGAGGAGGAGTGAGGAGCAGCGCGCTGCCGCCCCTCGACACAGGGAAGGCAGGGAGGAGCAGGCGAGGCTGGGAGGGGAGGGAGAACCCCGGGAAGACCAGAGATAAGGTACCGTTTGTGCATTGCCCGAAGGCGCTGCACGGACGGGTGACCAAGGCGGTGGTAACAGAGGACTGTCTCGTGTGCCAGAGAGCGGCACGAGCAGGGGGCAGACAGCTGACCTGACGCAGACGCAGACGCAGCTACCTGAGGGGACTCAGTAGTCAGTGTGTACAGGTCCGACCCCGGCTGCCGTGTGAAGGTCGCCTGGTGACGGCCCGTGTGAGCACACGTGCAGTCTGTCACGCGCTCGTAGGCAAGGGTGAATTGGTGAACACCCCTGTCCTGGAGCGCACTACCCGCCACCAAGTTCGTAGAGAACGAGGGGAGGTAGAGACCGGACAGTGTGCCCAACGGGACGGCCGGACAGGGGAGGACAGTGGAGGAGGTCGCAAGGACTGGACCCCCAGAGGGGTCTGCGAGAGAGACTGCAACGGGCCGAGTAAGCTGCTCAAGAGCCGTGCGGTCACGAAAGAAATAGTGGGAGGCACCTGAGTCTAGTGTAAAGGTGTGCAGTGCCTCAGTCGACTCAGTAACAGGGGACGTAGACACACCAGCACCTAGAGTAGCAGCCTCACCAGCACCTGGGGTAGCAGACACTCTAGCACCTAGAGCGGTAGCCTCACCGGGTAGAATGCCCGGGTCGGGCGGAACACTCAGGTACTGGGCACCCTCTCCACTAACAGACATCACATACATGGCAGAAAGAATAGCATCAAAGTCTAGAGCAAAGATATCAATGTTTTGCTTCATCAGATTAGCCCAGCGGGGCAGCTCAGTGGCGTCAGGGAACTGAGTACGCCAAGCGTCGTCAAGGCGTGAGAAGCAGCGCTGCGTGGGGTGCGCCCTCCCACACGTCTGACCAGTGCGGTCACCAGTGCGGATGACGTACGTGCAGCTAAGGCCACCACCCCCCCCATGCCGAGTGTACCACTCACGGAGCTCCTGGGGCGACGGAGAGTGCTGTAGGCTCTGGCCACCGCCAGTGCCGCCACGACCACCACTGCCGCCACCACCGCCTCTACCACCTCCTCCCCTGCCGCCGCCACGTCCACCGCCGCCTCCACCACCGCTCCCGCCCCTGCCACCGCCCCCGCCGTTGCTGCCACCACCCCCACCGCTGCCACTAGCCCCACCACTCCCACCACCACCCCCACTGCGCCACTACCCCCACCACTGCCTCCCCCGCCATCACCTCCGCCTCCCTTGCCCCCTTTGCCCTTGCCGCTGCGATGCCCGCTCGAGGCAGACGCGGCCCCGACCTTCTCAAAACCAAGAAGGTCGACAGCAGAAGCAGAGGCTACAGAGGGAAGAAGGGGGGAAGGGGAACACCCCTCGAAGAAAGGGGTGCAGGGGTCGCCACGAGAGGCACCTACAGCGACTATGCTAGCCTCAGCTGCAAGCAGTTCCTTCTCGAGGAGGGCAATGGTGAGCTTAGTGGGGCAACGAGCTAGGAAGTGATCCCTGACAACACGCAGAGTGTCAGCGAGGCGGGTGACTAGGTGGTAGAGAGTGAGCCAGAGCGGGGGAGGGTTCTTGGCAAGAAACTCATCGAGCATGGTGGCACGGAAGCGGGCCTCACTAGTACGGAGGTGCGTGATGAGGTCAGCGACTGTATGGAACGAGGCCAGGTCAGGAAACAGGTAGGGGAGTGAGAGACGGCCTAGCGCGACAGAGGCAGGTGAGGAGTAGCGGGCAACGACAGCGGTGTACAGTGCCTGTGCAGTCTTGTGCTGGACAAAGTGCTCACGCTCGTCTATCGGCAGGGAGTTGCGAATAGCGAAGCGAGCATGGGCGTCACGAGTCTGCCACTGTGAGCGGGCAGTGCTGTCAGCAGTAGCAGCAGGAGCAGTAGCATGGCTTAGGGCGTGATCGTACAGTGAGATGTCCTCCTTGGCACTGACCTGTAGGACGAGGTGTTGGTCATCTAGCCAGGTTTCGAACTTCACTGGACGGCCCTCAGCATCGAAAGCTAGCACAAGAGGGCTAGCCATAGCGGTAGTAGGAGGAACAGTAGAGTAGCAGTAGTAGCAGTAGGTGCACCCTCAAAATAGTTGGCAGTGTGACTCAGGTAGGGCGGCTCGGTCCTGTACGGGCGGCGCGGCTCGGTTCAGGTAGGGCGGCTCGGCTCGGGTAGGTCGGCGCGACTCGGTTCGGGCGGCGCGGCTCGGTTCGGGCTGGGTGGCTCGGTTTGGGCTCGGTGGCTCGGTTCGGGTCGGGCGGCTCGGTTTGGGCTGGGTGGCTCAGTTCGGGCTGCTCGGTTCAGGCGGCTCGTTCTAGCGGGGCCGAAGGTATCGCGGTGGGGTGCTAAGGGGCGGCGCGTGGGTCGAGGGGGCCGACAGGGCCGCTAAGAGGTGGGCGCGCGCAGGGCATCAGGGCCGACGAGGCCGCTAAGGGGGTTGCCCACGGGGTTGACGGGGCCAGCAGGGCCGCTAAGGGGCGGCGCGTGGGGTCGACGGGGCCGACGGGATCGACGGGGCCGCTAAGGGGTGGGCGCGCGGGCTCGACGGGGCCAACGGGGCCGCTAAGGGGCGGCACGTGGGGTCGATAGTGAGAGAAGTTGAACGAGAATGGGGATAACCAAGTGAAAGTTGGGTACAAGTACAAACCCTAGAAAGTTGTACCCCATATGTGCTACCCCACTATAGCCTACAATAGCTATGTCATATATATCTGAAACACCCCCATAGGCAAAGTGGGGGAGAACAAGGGGTCATAAGACCAGTCAAGCAAAGCAAAGCAAGCTCAGGGTGGATCACAAAGTCACCACACAGTCCGAACACAAGGTCAAGGCCACAAGGCCAGTTCACATGCACGAGTGCACATATATATATAACACTGAACAAGCAAGAGCAGGTGTATATATATATGCAAGAGTACAAGTAAGATCACGAGGTGAGCAAGTGAGGTAAGACAGGTACAAGTCCCAGCTGAGTGCAGAAGCGCTAATTATCACAAGGCGGAAGTGCCTTGGTGAAAACATCAGCAGTGTTGGCCTCAGAGGCCACGTACGCAAGTCGCAACTGACCACGCTGCTGCAGCTCACGAGCAAGAAAGTAGCGGAGAGCAATGTGCTTCGTTCTATGCTCCAGGCGCTGCTCTCGACACAAGGCCAGCATGGCCTTGTTGTCTACGTACAGCACTGGAGGAGAACGAGACGGCTCTCCAAGGTCAGTCAGCAGGTAGGTGAGCTAGCGAAGCTCCTGAGCAGCCATGGCCCCGGCGTAGATCTCAGCCTCACAACTGGAGCCGAGAACAGAAGACGAGCGAGTAGCCCGCCACGAAATAGAGCCGGAACCAAGGCTAAAGGTGTAACCCCGTGACGACCGCTGCGTAGCCTGGTCGTCAGCCCAAGAAGCAACCGCGTGCCCAGTGAGGACCACTGGACTCTGCCCTCCAAGCACTAGCCCCATGCCCGACGTACTGCACAAGTAGCGCAACACCCTCTTCGCTGCAGCCATGTGCTCTGGTCTCTGTCTCCCTGGAGCCACATAGCGTGCAAGAATGCTAAGAGGGTATGCAAGGTCAGGTCGTGTGCAGGTCATCAGGTACATGAGGCAGCCAGCAAGCTCTGGGTAAGGGCCACTTGACTCTACGGACTCATTTGAAGGCAGAGCTGAGAGCGAGTGGCGAGTAGACAGAGGAGTGGCCTGAGGCGAGGAGTACGTGAAGCCGAAGCGCTGAAGGACCTACTGCACCATGTGTGACTGAGTCAGGGTAATGGTGTGGCGTGCTCTGTCCCAAGTGATCTGCAAGCCAAGGTAGCTGCGCAGTTCATCCAGGTCTGTGCACGTGTGTCTCTTCTGCAGCTCCGACTTCACGTAGGCGAGTCCAGCAGTGTCCGCTGTGGCAAAGACCAAGTCGTCAACGTACACGAGGATGTAGAACGGCTGCAGAGAAGTGTCGGTGCGCAGAAACAACGACAGGTTAGCAGTAGAGAGAGCAAACCCAAGAGCCGCAAGCGTAGTCCTCAGTGTGTCGTGCCACTCACGCGGTGCCTGGCGGAGACCAAAGACTGGCCGTCGGAGGCTCCACTGGGTGCCAGGAGGGAAAGTCCCAGTGAAGCCAGGTGGACGGCGCAGCCAGATCTCCTCGTGCAGGCTACCCTGCAAGAAAGCAATGCTGAAGTCAAGAGAGTGGAGCTCGTAGTTGCGCTGAGCGGCTATGTGCAGCAGCACCCGAAGAGTGGTCATCTTCGGGGTGGGAGAGAAGGTCTGAAAGTAGTCAACTCCTTGCCGCTGACTGAAGCCACGAGCCACGTACCGCGCCTTGAAGACAGGTGGAGAGCCCGGCGGCCGCTTCACCCTGAAGATCCACATGCCACTGACGATGTTCGCCCCAGGAGGGGGAACTGCGTCAACGTAGGTGCTTGTGGACTTCCAGGAAGCCATCTCTGCATCCATAGCTGCCTGCCAGTGAGAGGAGTAGGGACCCTCTATGGCCTGCGCGTAAGAGCGCGAAGTCGAGATGTCTAGTGCATCTGGGTCTCCCTCAGGGGCAAGTAGTACGGACGCGAGATGAGGTGAAGCAGCAGCCAGACACTGGAACTCCTCCTGCCTGTCCTCAATGACGTCCGTGCCAAGAGCACACTCACCCCCGACGGACGGAGGACAGACAGACGCAGACTCAGCAACAAGACTGGCAGCGTAGTCTAGACGACAGCGAGCAGCAAAGTCGACGAGCTCAGCAACAAGCGCGAACGCAGCAGTGGACTCAAAAGAGGGGTCAGTGACGACAGTAGCAAGGAGACGCGTGATAGTAGGATTGGCAGTACGGAGAGAGTCTGACTCTGGGTCGGCAAGTGCAGGAAGAGAGGACTCAGGAGGAGAAGGCAAAGGGGCACGCAGAGGAGCAGTGGACGGACGCAGAGACATCCGGTGGGTGCTCGGGATAGGAGGAGGACGCTGACGCGACTTGCGACCACTAGCACGAGCAGCACGACCAAGTGACGCGGGACGAGACGAAGGCTCACGATGCTCAGCAAGACCTCCAGTAGGACCAGTGTAGGGAGAGGAAGCAGGAAGAGGGGAGGCGGGCGCTAACTGTGACTGTGACTGGACAAGCGGTGGACACTCTACAGGAGGAGGAAGACCAAGAACCTGCTGCAGGAGCAGAACGAAGTACGGCCGAGGCCGCGCGGCAACTCCACACACAGCAGGGAAAGCACCAGCACCCTCAGCGGCAGCACCAGCGCCAACAGCACCTCCAGCTGCAGGACCTCCAGCAGCACCAGCAGCACCCGCAGCAGGACCACCGCCAGGAAGGACAGCAGCAGTCTCAGCACCAACACCCTCAGTATCTCCAGCGCCAGGCGGACCCGAAGGCCCAGGAGCCCCGGGACCGGCGGCACAAGTACCCTCAGCGGCCAAAGAAGCTCCATCTCCAGCAGGACGCCTCCTGCGGCGAGCAAACCACTCGCGCAGCTTCTGTGGAGAGAGTGGCTCCCGCCGAGATGAAGCACCCGGAGAGCCTCAAGGCCCTGCACCGCCAGACGCCAGAAGGGAAGGTCCAGTGGCCGCAGGCTCCGCAACTCGAGGCTCAGCAGCACCCCCTGGCTCACGAGATCATGACGTAGCACCCCCAGGCTCAGCACCCCCAGTCGCAGCACCCCCAAGCTGAGCACCCCCAGACTCAGCACTCCCTGGCTCAGCACCCCAAGGCTCAGCACCCCCAGTCGCAGTACCCCCACGCGCAGCACCCCCAGGCTCAGCGCCCACGCGCGCCGCACCTCCAGAGTCAGCACCCCCAGGCTCAGCACCCGTAGCAATACCAGAGTCACCAGCAACCTCGACCGGCTCGACTGAGTCTACCTGGGACACACCTAAAGGGGCAGGACCCTGAGGGGGAAGGGGGTCTACCTTGGGGGGACCTGGCACAAGGAAGTGCGGTGGCGGGGGGAGGGAAGGAGTGCGGTAGGGGAAGAGGTGGTAGAAGGGGACTGACTCGTCGAACGTGACGTCCTGGGAGGACAGAACACGACGAGAGGAGGGGTGGTAGAACTGCCACCCCGGGGCGTCAGGGGGGAAGCCTAGGAAGACACAGGGAGCAGCACGAGGGGACAGCTTGTCCGCAGACAAGTCGCAGACAAACGCCCGAGATCCCCAGACACGGAACGCCAACACATCGCCGACCTTCCCCGTCCACAGCAGAGCTGGGGAGGTCTCCGGCCGAGAGACCCTGGGGTGGAGGTTGATCTGATGCGCGGCGTACCGAACCGCAAACGGCCACAGAAAATGGGGGGCAGCCGCATGCATCATGGACGTACGAGCGACGTCCATGACCATGCCAATGCGGCGCTCAGCAATCCCATTTTGTTGTGGAGAGTCCGAAAGCGTAAAGGTCTGGCGGATGCCTCGTGTACGACAGTAGGCTCGCAAAAGGCCAGAGGAGAACTCTCCACCTCGGTCAGAGTGCAGACGAAGGACAGGAAAGTCCAAGCCGAAGCTCCTCCTGAGCTGGAGACGAGCTGCGTGGATCCAGTCGATCAACACCTCATAGACATCACCCTTGCTGCGCAAGGGGAAGACTGTGGTGTAACGCGAGTAGTCGTCAACCACCAGCAGGAAGTAGCGCTCGTGACCCTGTCCACGGACGCGGGCCGAGCCCCACACGTCCATGTGGAGCGTCTGCAGAGGAGCCTCTGTCGGGGGAAATTGGGAGGAGTGTGGGGCAGGCCGGAGGCGCCCCTCGACACAGGGGACACATGAAGGTCCTGGCCCCGAAGGAAGGGGAGGGAGAGACCGGGGGAGACCAGAGACAAGGACACGGGAAGCCATGCCCCGAAGACGAGGCAAGGAGGGGTGGCCAAGACGGTGGTGCCACAGGAGAGTCTCGTGAGACAGGAGGCGACACGAGCAGGGGGCAGACTCAGGACCAGACCTGGACGCAGCAGCAAACACCTGACCCGACGCAGCTACCTGGCCAGACGCAGGGACAGGAGGAGACTCATTGGTCAGGGTGTAGAGACTCGACCCTGGGCGACGCGAAAACGTGGCCAGGTGTCGGCCTGTACGGGCGTCCGAGCAGTGGGTAACTCGCTGACTCGCAGGAGTAAACAGGTGAACCCCCCCATCCTGCAGGTCAGCACCACTCACCAAGTTCGTCGAGAACGAGGGGAGGTAAAGACTAGACAGGGTGCCCGAGGGGGCAGCCGGACACGGGAGGACAGTGGAGAAGTGAGAGAGGACACGGCCCCCAGAGGGGTCAGCCAGGGAGACTGCAACCGGCCAACCAAGCGGCGTGAGTGTGGTGCGGTCTCGAAAGAAGGAGCGAGAAGCCCCTGAGTCAAGTGTGAAGGTGAGGGAGGTCGAAGCCGACGCAGTACCTGAGAGCGCATCCTCATCAGTACCTGAGAGCGCAAACGCACTGGCACCTAGAGCAGCAGCCTCACAAGCACCTAGCGCAACAGTACCAATGCTCGGGTCGGGCGGGAAACACCGGTAACAGTCACCGTTATCACTAATAGTCACAGCATACATGGCAGCAAGGATAGCATCAAAGTCAAGATCAAAGATAGCTACGCCAGCCCTAGACAGCTCTCCCCAGCGGGGAATCTCACAAGCCTCGGGGAACTGCTGACGCCAAGCGTCCGTCAGGCGGCCAAAGCAGCGCTGGGTGGGGTGGGCACCCCCACACTGCTCACCCGCGCGGTCGCCGGAACGAAGGACGTAGGTGCACGGACCAAAACCCCCACTGCGCTGACGCTGCGCGTACCACTCACGGAGCTGCTGAGGCGGGGGGATGTCCCGAGAACGCTGCTGCTGCTGCTGCTGCTGCTGGCGCTGACCACCACTAGAGCCGCTCCGCTGCGGGGCACCACCCCGACCAGCTCCACCCCCTCCGCCAACGCCGCCTCCACCGCCGCCACCACCGCCGCCTCGGCTCCCACCGCTGCCGCCGCCACCGCCTCCGCCTCTGCTGCCGCCACCACCACCACCACCCCCGCCACCACTCCCACCGCCACCCCCACTCCCTCCGCCGCCTCCACCGCTACCTCCACCGCCCCCGCCAGCGTCACCTGCGCCCTTGCCCCCCTTGCCCTTGCCAGGTCGGCGTCTCCCGCTAGGGGCAGACGCCGCACCGACCGACTCAAGACCAAGCAGGTCGGCAGCAGCAGTAGAGGCAACAGAGGGCAGCAGGGGGGAAGGAGAACACCCCTTAAAGATGGGGGTGCGAGGGTCACCCTGAGAGGCTCCTACAGTGACGATGCTCTTCTCCGCCGCCAGGAGGGCCTTCTCGAGGAGGTCAACAGTGAGAGTGGTGGGACAGACTGAGAGAAAGTGGTCCCTGACTACGCGAAGGGAGTCAGGGAGGCGTGTGACTACGTAATAGAGAGTGATGTACATGGGGGGAGGGTTCTTGGCGCAGAACTCAGCAGGAAGTGTGGCGCGGTAGCGAGTGTCACTAGTGCGGAGGTGCGTAATGAGGTCGGCGACTGTGGGAAAGGCAGCAAGGTCAGGAAAGAGGTACGGTAGCATGAGGCGGCTCAGTGCAGCAGTGGCAGGAGAAGAGTAGCGCGCAACTACAGCGTCGTACAAGGTCTGAGCACTCTTGTACTGACTAAAGTGCGCGCGCTCTGTGGTAGGCAGGTGGCGACGCACAGCAAGACGTGCAGCGGCATCGCGGGTGGCCCACTGAGAGCGAACAGTGGGGTCAGCGTTAGTAGCAGGGGCAAGAGAGGCGCCAGAGGTGAGGTCAAAGAGAGAAAGACCGTCCGCCCTATCGAACTGTAAGAACAGCTGCAGGTCGTCGACCCAGACCTCAAAGTCAATGGCTCGACCCTCAGCGTCAAAAGTGAGGACACTAGGGGTAGCCATGACGACGATAGACTAGCAGTGCAAGCAGTAGGGGAAGGGCACGCAGTGACAGTGGTGCTGCGCTCACCGGATAGGGCAGGTCGGGCGGCTCGGTAGTAGGGCGGCTCAGCTGCTGGGCGGCTCGGCGGCTGGGCGGCTGGGCGGCTGGGCGGCTCGGCGGCTCGGCGCTCGGCTGCTGGGCGGCTTGGTTGCACAGCGGCTCGGCGGCTCGGCGGCTCGGTGCTCGGCTGCTGGGCGGCTCGGCTGAACGGTGGCTCGGCTGGTGAGCGGCCGGGAGGCTCTGCAGCTGGGCGGCCCGGCTCCTCCGGTACTCGGCGGCGCGGCGGTTGGCTGCTCGGGTGCACGCTGCAGGGTGGTGCTGCGGTCGGTAGCTCGGGTGGCGGGCAGGAGAGGAGAGTGGCAGGGCCGCAGCACACGGGTGGCGGGGCCCCAGGTGCAGGGCGGCGGGGCTGCAGCAGAAGGGCGGCGGGGCCGGTAGAGTAGGGCGGCGGGGCTGCGAAAGCAGGGCGGCGGGGCCGCGAGGTGTAGGGCGGCGGGGTCGCTAAAGTAGGGCGGGGGGCCGCGAGGTGTAGGGCGGCGGGGCCGCTAAAGCAGGGCGGCGGGGCCGCGAAGTGTAGGGCGGCGGGGCCACTGAAGCAGGGCGGCAGGGCCGCTAAAGCAGGGCGGCGGGGCCGCTAAAGCAGGGCGGCGGGGCCGCGAAATGAAGGGCGGCGGGGCCGAGAAAGCAGGGCGGCGGGGCCGCTAAAGCAGGGCGGCGGGGCCGCGAAGTGTAGGGCGGCGGGGCCGCTAGGTGTAGGGCGGCGGGGCCGGTAAAGCAGGGCAGCGAGGCCGCGAATCAGGGGCGGCGGGGCCGCGACAGTAGGGCGGCAGGGCCGCTAGGGGAGGGAAGGCCGCTAGGGCGGCTCGTCGAGTTAACAGCCCGAGGCGCGACTCGGGATGAGCGCGTTTCGGGCAGTAAAAAAAAAAATCGAAGTGGTGGGCCCTAGGCGCAGTTCCCATAGGGGAACCTGCTCGATACCATGAGAGAAGTTGAACGAGAATGGGGATGACTAAGTGAAAGTTGGGTACAAGTACAAACCCTAGAAAGCTGTACCCCATATATGCTACCCCACTATAGCCTACAATAGCTATGTCATATATATCTGACAGACGGGGCCGACGGGGCCACTAGAAAGTGGGCGCGCGGGGTTGACGGGTCCAGCGGGGCCACTAGGGAGGCGGTACGTGGGGTCGACGGGGCCGACGGGGCCACTAGAGGGGTGGGCGCGCGGGGCAACCGGGGCCGACGGGGCCTCTAAGGGGCCTCTAGGGGGCGGCTTGTGGGGTCGACGGGGCCTATAAGGGGCGGCGCGCGGGTCACTAAGGGCCTTAAGGGGCCGTGAAAGCGAGGCGCACGAGGGCGCTAGGGGGGGAGGCACTCGAGGGCGCTCCAACAGTAGGGCGCACGAGGGCGCTAGTAAGTAGCAGTAGTGGTGGGCCCTAGGAATCGGTCCTAGCGGAGGACCTGCTCTGATTCCATGTAACGAAGAAGAAGTGATTGCACTATGAAAGCTGGAGTACAAGTAGGAAACCCTAACTTTGTGTACCCCCTAAAGGCTAACCCACTATAGCCTACACAATAATAACACATATAGTGTTTGACATCTCCTGATTCAACGGTCTACCCGATGGCGGTGTTGCGGCGAAGAAGGGATTTCCGAAGCTGAGGAGTTTTAAACGTGATAGACGTGGTGGATAGCGTGTCAGAATATTATGTTTCTCTAGTCTGCAGTGGGGTACTCTATAGTGAGTACAACCCTTTTAGGGTTTGCTATATGTATCCCAATGTTTGCTAGTGAACCCACCTCTTCTTTCATTCCTCATTTCTCACACAACGAAGCGGCCGGTTTGACTGTTTGATCCGATAAACATGACCCGGCTACGATAGCGTTCGCGCCTTTACCGAATGTCAGAAAAATCGCGGGCAACAAGGAGTTATACCTCATCCGACAAAAGCAAACCCAGGGAGAACGGTGGCAAGCGAAATTATCGGGGGGTGAAGACACAAAACAAATGGAGGGAAATTTGTGGGTGCTCCAGCAGATCTCCAGAGTGAAAGGTTGAGCCCGTACACCAATCCACCGCGAATTTCGGAGTCTATTCGGTAGACCCCCGAAAGGGTTCGATATTGTTACATGGAGGCGCGGTGAGCGGTGTATCGCCAAGGATACCTAGGATTCGCCAAGTAATTTCGACGGGTGCGAAGACGGGTGAACGTCGGAGTACGAGGGTTAACGGCGGACGCGTCGGGGTTACGCCGCGGAAAATACTTCGGGACTGCTTCAACAACCATGATTTTCGGGGTTTTATTCCAACGGTGGGATACGGATGAACGTCTGCTCGCCAGCTGTTTCAGCGGTTTACGGTGTACTTTGAAGCCATCTGGGGAAATTCTACAGCGAGATCTGCGGCGTCGATGCGGGCTAGGTTCCGTGAAATTCGGTCCCAGTAGACCCATAGTTCTGGGTTCCGCACAAAAAGCACCTCCTATTGGTGGGTGGCAAGTGTGGTTAATCGCAGGAAATAAAAATGGCGACGGGTGGGCACGCTAGATACACCGGTTCTTCAAGGGGATAACCTGCAGGTGACCAAGACGTACGAGAAATTTCAACACCGACACTTACAGGTTTCAGCAGCAGTACTGGGAGCTGGGTCTTTACAAGATTTCGGCGGTGACGGCCGACAATTTCGCGACAATGGCGGAGTTGCAGCGGCGCTGGGTTAAGCGCGAAAACTGCTGTGGTGAACTTCATGCTAGCAAAATCTGCAGAGTTTGAGGGGAACCAGCCGCAACACTAGTGATATGTATCACAACATGTGGGGGGAGGAAGGACAGCTTTTTCGCCTCTGCCCCGAAGTCTTCGGCGAGTCATGACAACAGCCGAGGTAGCTGACGTCATCGACAGTTCGAGTTTTCAACTTTGAAAAATATTTGCGAGGTCAGGGGGAAGAGCAGCAGCTGTTTTCGTCCCTGCCCGGGAGTTGTCGGAGCAACGCGACAAAGGCCTGGGCGAGTCTGGACAAAACTGCCGAGGGCGCCGACAGCTGGAACACTACAGCGAAGATTTTCGCCACAGCAACCAGCCAAACGGCAGCAGCAATTTGTGATTGCAGCAGCTGCCAACAAGAGATTGGGCAGCAATAAAGTGATTCAATACTGCCACGCGGGGGATTACGAGGTGGCAGTCAAGAGAGATGCTGCAGCAACAGTCGCGACAACAAGACAACAAGAAGATTTTTTAAATGCCGAGCCCCTGCAAAAACGATATTCTTTCGAAGGGACTTCGATAGAGTTTACCCTGGGCATTTTCGGGGTTTTCGACAGTGAAGATTTCGCCACCGACAGCAATTTCGACTACACAGCAGCTGAATTTCAGGTGGGAGGTCATAACACTTGGTATTCCGTCCTACCCTCGGCGCCAGGGGGGCTGTGGTTTTGTGCCCGCGTAGCTGTGCACATTTTGGTGGGCAGCATTTCTCTTCCAAGGGAGGGGGGGGGGGGGGGGGGGGGGGGGAGAAAGAGTGCTCACGCACTGTTGTTGGCAGGCCTCTGACATTTTGGCAGTTAATTCTGATAGTTCGTCTGACACACCCAGCACGACGACGCACGCGATGGCTTCATC